AGGTCTTTAGAACATATGAGCTTGTATATTGATAAAACCCACCTCATATTGATCATTCATCATTTCCCTTATCTAAATCCTCATTTTCACTCAAATCAAACCATATCAGCACTTGCACGCCAGTATTTCATGTTCATGTTTAATATTTTGTTTATCTCACCCTGACATGATTTCTGTTGAGCAAACTAAGTGTTTGTGTGTTTTGAGAAGGCTAGAAAGTTCAATGCTTATCTAGCCTTGAACCAGAGTATTTAACGGACCGCTGAACTCTTTGGATTGTGGACCCTGCCTGTGTATTTAAGATAACTGTACCTCTGTACCGTGGTGACTCATGAACACAGATTTCAAAAGATCTTCAAAATTCCAGTCACGAAACAGGAGATTTCTATCAAATAACTGTAAATGATTAATATGTCTTCATGTGCATATGCATAGGCACAGTTTCACATGTATATGCCCTGATGTTTAAAAAGAGCCTGCTAAAGTGAAACCAGGAGTATTCACTGCACAATGGAAACTGAATCTCAGCAGCTGTAGGTTGGGTGTGTGTGTGCTAATATGTTTTTGACAAGCAGTAATAAAATGTGGTCAGACACACAGGATTTCAGTACAGTAAAAATCATTTAATTCAATAAAATAGTATATAGCAGTAGACCAGTTGTACCTTTATCATTTTTATAAGACTACTTCACTGCGTTTCCAATACTGTTACAATGAGTTGCATCATACCTCTGCAGTACAACTCTTCCCATGACAACCACTGCCCCAGATATGGCGAAAGGAATTTAAATAACAGAATATTAAACAGTAGATATCTCACTTTAAAACCCGTACAAAAATACTTTACAGACGAAATACGTGACAGGGTTTCCAGATTACCAGAGCTATACCGAGCACACTGTGGGATATTGCGCAATCCAGGCGCACAGTCCAGAGCTCGAGCACTTTGTGCTGCGTCTCCACGTTGCGTATTTTGGCTTTGTCTCTGCTTTTGCGGACGGCGAGATTGTTCCTCTCGCGCCGCTGTTTGTACTCTTCGCTGTCCTTTTCCAGCCTCTTCTTCCCTTTGCTGCCAGAGGCCATTTTGCCGCCAGACTGAGGAGATCTTCCCTTACCTGGCGGCGCAGGTGTACCTGGCGGGCTAGAGCAGGAGGAGGACGCGGTGGAAATGTTACCCAGGCTTCCGCTAGGAGCGTTCTGGTACTGCAGATACGAGCGCATGTCAAAGCCACCGGAACCATCCATTGGCGGCTCTTCGTGTCGCCAGTTAGTTTTGGCAAAACTGCCCAGAAAGTCCGGGCTGAACACGGCGTCTATGCGCGTCTCCTGGAGCTCCGGATACGCCAGCTGGTTCGAGTCCCGCTCTGTCAGCGAGATGTAGTTCTTATAGTTCTGTAACGCTGCTCTCTTGCTCTTGTTTTCCTCGGAGAGAAACTCGCTGTAGATTCCCAGTGCGCGGAGCCGGCTTTCGTCTTGGCTGGCCAGATGGTACTGGGGCGATTCCAAATAGATGCTGAAGTCTATGGCTTTCTCGTGCTCAGAAATATCATGAAGCTTCGTCATGGAGCCGTTCGTAGGCTGCTTGCAAATGCCGTCGCTGACCGGGCTGCTGCTGGCGTTAGTGCTGTGGAAAGCGAGGTAGTCCCCCTCGTAAAAACCGGCCACTTCCATGGATCTTAACACCCGCCGGATTACGGCAGGACGGAGATCAGGGTTTCGCCTTCCCCTGATAACTACCGACGGCAGCGCAAAACTCACGCGAAAATTCGAGTATCTTCCGTCGGCAGAAGTAACTGGATGACTTTTGTCTAGTTATGTAGGTGATAGGTTGCCTGCCCAGCGCTCGCTGGAGAGATCGAGTAAGTTCCCATGCCTCGGAATGGGGTGTTTATAGAAGTGTGAGAGGGGGCGGCGATTCTCTGTGACGCGTTTTTCTGGTTTTAACCGCAGACACTCAGAACTCAAAACGGGTCTGTGAACACACGAGTGAATAACAATAGAAAATAAACACGCCATAAACAGATACAAATATGCAGAGTTTAGGCTGAGACCTGCTTAACTGTCTACCAAAAGACAGATCAGTTTTGAACTAGCTTAGAATCAGAGTCAGAATGAGATTTATTGGCAAATATGCTTATATATAACACATTTACACAATATACATAAATTAGATAAATAAGTTGAAGTAATTGTATAGTCTATCATTATCCCTTTTTTAAAAGTTATGATAGGGCTATATTGATCTGTATTTATTTTATTCGTTTATTTATGTGCTCTACATAACTCTACAGACATAATTCTACATAACTTTTAAGTAAACTAATAAAATAAGTACAGCTATGTAGAAAATGCATGTTTATCAGGGGAGCTGTCAGTTATACATTGTTGCCATGGGCAATGGTCATTGTCCAGCAATATGTGACCAGTTGACCAGTCAAAGTAAAGTCTTCTGGAGAGCTGTGTAGTAACTAAGCAACAAGGCACCACCAGAGGATGTGCTATATTGTAATTATAGTCAATCGTGAATAGCCGTGAGTATTTACAATATAGCACAACCTCGAGAGCTTTTTTTTTTTTTGTAAATGTTTAGCACATAATAAAAATATTAGGAATTTTAAAGTATTAAAACATTTTCTTAAGCAAATTCATTAAATGTCATTCTTAAAGTTGAATATTTAGTCCTAACACAACACAAATAAGATTTTCTATATGGGCTATGGCAGTGAACATGTCAAAGTTGTTACTATATCACTGAATGCAACATGTCTGGAATGCTGTATTGATCAATCAGTTGCTAGGACCGGAAGTGTCTATTTCATTTAAAGGTCTGTGTTTTCTCTTGGCTTCTATAGGCTACAGGCCTGTCATCCTGCAATATCATCAATTCCACACTTTATATTCACACATTAAAGTTAGTTAATCAGGTTTATTCACATTACTGATTAATATCATTGTCTAATCCTCAGCACCCTCAGTAGTAGGCTAATTTCAATTTCAATTTGATTATCAGTCATGTTCCAGAGGCAGCAGGCGTTGGCTGCTGCAATAAACATATGCGGTTAGTCTGCCATCTGGTGGCTAAATGAAGGATTGCACTACAAGAGCTGCTTAACTGAATTCCATCATTGTCCTCTAGACAGAGCAGTGGTTCCCAACCCTGGTCCTGGAGGCACCCCAACACTGCACATTTTGCATGTTTCCTTTCTCTGACACACCAGTTTCAGGTCTTGGAGTCTCTAATGAGCTGATTATCTGAATCAGGTGTGTTTTATTAAGGAGACATGCAAAACAGTGTTGGGGTGCCTCCAAGGACTAGGGTTGGGAACCACTGCTCTAGAGAAGTGTTTCCCAACCTTTCTCTAGTGGCGGCACCCTTTGGAAATTTTAACAAATTTGTGGCACCCTACAAAATAAATTTTGTCACAATATTTGAATTTCTAACTTCGATATGGTACTTTGAAAAGTATAGATATTTGGTACAGCAGGGAAGAACTGCAGAATATACTGTCATACAGATATTTTTAATATTATAAAAAGAAATGTGTCTATCAATGGTGGCAATCAGCAGGCTAATTTCTAATGAAGAGACCAATTTATATGACAGATTTTAATGTAGGCTTTTATTCATATGTAAACATTGTGAGATAGCTAGTTACAATGGTAATTAAACAAAGTTTTGCTCACTCAGTGTATTTTTGATTTTACAGTTGGGTAATTTTGTTGCAGTAGCACGAGATAGCTTGATTTAAAACTTTGAATTGAATAAAAAATGACAAGGAGACTAAGCAATTAATAATAAAATAAGAACAAATAAAGAAATTACTAATAGCACGATAGGCCTACAAATGAAATAAATTGCTTTTTAGTTTTTCAGGTAGGCTAGGTCTAACACACAGTAGGGCTATTAAGAGTTTTTTTTTAATTTTTTTTACCAATTATCCAAATAATGTTTCATCCTAGAAAGCTATTATCATCAGAGGATTTGGGAAACACTGCTCTAGAGAAGCAGACGGCTTCACTGTCTCTCTCAATATTTCCTTTTCTTATTCAGTTCCTGAACATCCCCCATCTAATGCAACGTCTTGCAAGAACCGACTCATTAAGCTGTCAGCACGTAGTTAAATTCTATACATTTTCACGTGAATTTTATCTCCAATATTGTGTATTATATTATTATTATTATGATTATTTTATGTGTAATTTATCATTATATCATATTTTATTGTAGACATTTTTTGTCTACACATTCCGTTATTTTTATAGAGCACCTGCGACGCAAATCCTACATCAAAACATATCAAATGTCTATATTGTGATTTTGGACTGTCCTTCTTGTCCTTCTTGACTGTAAAATCATACATGAATGCCAAGTCTTAATTTTGACACAGTCTACAGAACTGATGTTCATTTAACTGTACTAAACACTATTTTAAATTATGAACTATATTTAGTAGATTTATTGGCATCTTTTGTGATTGTGAGTGTCACATGGATTGTTTGGACCAAAATAAGAGCGAATAAATTATGACAGTTTTTTTTTTGGAAGAAATATTTTCATTTGAATGAACTAATTACTTCTTTGACTTGAAAAATTCTGTTATTTGTTCCATATAGGCTACATCGTATTTCGCATCTACTCCTTTGACTTGTGAAGTGACATTATACTTAGTTGAGAACTAAAAACACTAAATTTCATTAGATTTTTAAAAACATGAAAATAAATGTTTACACAATGCACAGAAAAATACCACCATCCATACAAACCACAATTTTACCGTCAGTGTACCCTGTACGTGTTTTCTGATTGGTTGCATCCGGGTGGGGCCAGGACATTCTTGCTTTCTGGTTGATCGTCATGTTTGTTATGGGAACGTATTCCAATTGCTGATTGGATGAATGCTACAGAAGGACGAACGCAATTGGTTGAGGGAAGAGACGCGGAAAAGGGCGAACAGAGGCGTGGAGTTCAGGATGCGGAATTAACGCATCTGCTGCGCCCGAACCGGACTGAATATGGCGAGCACCGAGAGCAAAAGCGGGTCTTCGGAAAACTTTCACACACCCGAGACAAGTGGATCGGACCAGCCGGGCGCGAGATGGGGTCCACAGCATGCAGGTGCTCGAGAGCTTGCGGAGTTATACTCGCCAGGTGAGATTTTAAACCGTTTTTTTACGTTTCCCGTCGGCGCCGGTATCCGCCCGCCTCTGCCCACAACGGGGACTGAACGGACTGCCAGCCACGAGTTTCCCCGTGGACAGCCCCGAACAGCACGGTCACGGAGCCGTAGCAGTCGCCTCGTAATCTAAAGTAGTCTGTTTTGAAAGTGCACGTAGCATTCAGTCTGGGGTCTCTGCGGGGGTTAACACGACGCAGTTATTACTGTAGCATAAGGATGGATAGTTTTGTTTATGTGGCAACGAGTTTGAAAGACCTCAGCGCCCCATTAGTGATGCCAGTTATCTGATGAGTGGAACATTATTGTATGTGGCAAATTTGACCAAAATAGGTTATTAATCATACCTTTTTTGCTCATCTATCTCTTATAGTCCCAAGGGACGTAATTCTGTGCCATAAATAGTTGTGGTACTTGTAGCTGTCTGATACTGACAGGGGATAGCTTTGATTTCTTGATTACTACATAGATGAATAATTATGCATGCACTCAGTAATTTTTTTATATAAAAAAACTGTACACATAAAACATGAACGACGTTTAAAAATATAACATTAAAATGACTTGCAGACTAGAAGAAGTTGTCTTTTTCTACATGGAGTGGGTTGCCCCTTCATGGGTGACGCTAATTGCAATGGACTGCTTTACTTAAAATAATTATATTTACTGCATATAGCAGGTTTGTCAAGTGTTTTATGTGATTTGCAAAGCATTAACATAAGTCAAAAGGAATAGTTCACCCAAAAATAAAAAATTCTATTATTTACTCACCCTCCACTTGTTCCGAACCTGTGTGAGTTTCTTTCTTCTATTGAGCACAAAAGATATTTTGAATAATAATGCTAGACAGTTGACGGTAGCCATTGACTTCCATAGTATTTTTTTTTCCATACTACTGAAGTCAATGGCTACTGTCAACTGTTTTGTTACTAACATTATTCAAAATATCTCCTTTTGCGCTCAACAGAAGAAAGAAACCCATACAGGTTTGAAACAACTTGAGGGTAAGTAAATGATGACAGAATTTCCATTTTTGGGTGAACTATCCCTTTAATGTAAACAAAACAAGTAAAGTTAATTTTAAGGTGCATTCAAATTAGCGAAAAAGTCTATTGTCCATTGTCAATACTATAGTGATATATGAACCACAGCTAACACAGAAGTCACTTTTAAACAAAGTAGCTTTCTGTTGGTCAACGCAGTGAATTCGTGACCAGCTTGAACCCATTGCGAAATCCGCATGGGGACATCTCTCATCTTCATGCAACACTTCCAATCGCGTGGATTCCTTTTGAAACCAAAATGTGATGCTAAATGTGACTGCACCTTAACAGCATTGTCAGACCACACTAAAAACAAAACAAAAAGATAACAAACATCCTCGATGTGAAGCGGCTGCAGTTAGTAAACAAACTTAATGCATCCAAGCCAATAGGAATCAGTACAAAGTCCAAAACTGGCTCTATTGAATACTGTATAAGAGGCATTCATATGTAAACTTTTTGAGAGCACCTATAAGGACGGTGTCGGGTTGACTCTTTGTTTTTATCTTAATAGGAATGGCTGATTACACTGTGTTAAAAGATGAATAACAACAAATAATGTATTTTATAGTATTAGCACAACAGGTTCACACAAAACCAAAGCCCACAATAGTTGAATAGTTTGTGCTCAGAAAATCTGAGTGTACCGCGGGAGTAGGAACTCCATCAGTACCAGCAGGGAACAGTGGACGTCATGGGGGCAAATGATTTCTATGAACACAAGGACAGAACAGGAGCGGAAACAAAATGTCACAGTAAGGAGAGCAGTGTGAGGGTGTGGTAACTGTGACAAGTTTGAGTTTGTTGGAGTTGGTGTGGGTGGGGTGCTGCTGCTGTTCAATGTCAAATGAAGCAGGACCGATGTGGGTTTCTGGGTAGCATTAAATTCAGTGCTTCTCTAACTTCACATCAGTGTCCTCTGATAGTCTTGTCCTGTTTACAGTCACTATGGTGATTCAGGGTCAAGGTGTTTTCTGACTCTCAGTATTTCGGTATCAGATTAACTCTGAATGAATCAGACACCTTGGAACAAAGATTCTGTCAAATGTGGTGAATCATGTTCTTTGGTCACTTCAGATATTTTCTGCAAAGTGGTTCTGCACTGAATTCAGGGAATTTGTCCTCGGCACATAATTGTAGCTGTGAAATGAAACAATGTGACATTGAGAGCATTGCTTTCATATAAGCTCATAGCATATCCATCTGTCTCATATTGTCATAAACATTTATTCAAATAATAGATGCTTTCTATACAGTATGATAATGATGCTATATTGGAATATTAGCTGCCAGTATAGTTACTCTCTTTATGTGGCTGTATTGTTGATTTGTATTTAGCCACTTGTTCTCTTGGAAGACCATGGGAGATTTATTTTTCTATAAGAAAATTGGGTTTATTTGGTTGATCTGCAGTAGCCTAATGGTTAAGGGTTGAGGTTGCTAACACACTTCAGTAAAGAATTTATAATAAATTATAAAATCATTTTTATTCAAAGTTAGTGCATTGCTGTTATTTTTGGACCCTGTTGACTAAAGTCTGCCATTTAAAAGGTCTTGACTCTGCCTCTTTCTCACAGGAAAAAGATGTCAGGAATGGATCAGTGTGCTGCTTTGCTTTACCCTCATGGCCTTCAACTTCTGTTTCCTGGTAACATACTTCCACCTGGGACACACCTGGTACATCCTCATGGGCATCGGTTGGTACAACAAACAAACCCACATATACCTGCCAGTGTTTAATAAAGTCGTGGTTAGACACAACAAAGAAGTTACAAAATACAACTTTGAAATTCCTAGAATTCAGGAATGCTAGAATCTGCTAGAAATTTTCTCTGTGTGACAAGCAGCTACCAAAAACTACCTTTTTTATGAGAACTGAAAGACCTTTTGGTTTATAATAGGATTTAGAGATTTAATACTCAGATTGCTGTTTGTGTGTGTATGTTTGTGTGTGTGTGTGTAGTGGCAGGGATCCTGACAGCAGACTTTGCCTCTGGTTTGGTCCACTGGGGTGCTGACACATGGGGTTCAGTGGATCTGCCCATCGTTGGGAAGGTACAGGAGTGAAACACTCTTTTACATGTTATTAAGCGTTGCCAGAGTTATTTAAGGTAAAACATTGAATAAAATAAGACATTTAAAGTTGGCGTGAAATGGAAGTTGCGATAGTCTTTTCTTCCCTATTATGAGGTATATACGAGTGGAACGGCGTCTGTAATGAGAAAAATGTAGGGTGGGACGTGATTTCACCCTCACCCTTTGCCGGGTGTTTGATTGACAGGTGATCGGACCAATCACAAACCAAACAGGAGTGTTAGATTAACGTCAGTGGACTATGGTGTATTGACTTCTTTCCGCGGTTGAGACAACATAACTCTGATGTTCATTCATGTTTATTTCATGCTATAACTAGTAGTAAAGAGGAAGAGATTATCGGTTCACATGACGTTTGAACTGAGGCGATTGCGTTCTCATGCCACACATCATCACGCAGTGAAAAATACATAGAGGAGCAAAGAAAAGATGTCAATACACAATTTTCAAGTTCGACTCTACTGACGTTAATCTACTAAAGGCTGGAATACACTACATGACTTTTAAAATCTGAACAGATTTTTAAAACACTAGGCATCATACACTTACCGACATTGTAAATAGTGACTGGCCATCATACACTACACGACTGAGGATCACACACTACCAGACTTTCAAGTTCTTTCGATCACAACAAACTCATGCAGAAATGTGCGCCTTGTTTCTAGGAGACGTGTGACAAATGAAAACAACATGTTTTCTATAATCGGCTACAAATATCAAACATGTTTGATCTCCTCCGACTGGATGGAATCACAATCTGAAGCTAAAAAATCGGGAGTCTGTGACCATCATACACTACGCGATTTTCTATGAAATCTGTCAACTCAAATCTGCAGACTGGCTCTGACTTTCGGCAACTAGCGTCAACTTCTCCAGACAGTAAATCGGTGGTTCTTATTTAATTAGATCGCATGTCAATCAAACTCCTTCAAAAGGCCTTTCCATTAGACAGTCAGTATAGTCCAACCCCTTTTTCCGAGTTTTATGTCATGAAGAGATGAGATGTCGTTGAGAGGGGGAGGGGAGGTTAATGTTTTTGATTAAATATTATAAGTGCAAATGATAAAAAAAAAAAAACGATGTGCAGGAATAAATCATTTATAATAAATTCTACAACACTGTGTAAAAAAAATTAGAATCGTCATTTTCGATTTCATGGTGACTTTAATATTTGTGTTTGTACGTTAAACATCATTTAAACGTCTTCACGTTAAAGATCTTTTAAAGAAAATATGAATCTCAGGAAAATATTCTCAACTACTAATTTGTACACACATAGTTATTTCTCTTAAAAAATGAGCTTCTCCTCCATCCCAGGCCTTCATTCGTCCGTTTCGAGAACACCACATCGATCCAACAGCAATAACGAGGCATGATTTCATTGAGACAAATGGTGATAACTGTATGTTGACTATCATCCCTCTGGCGAACATGACCGCAAACTTCTTGATGCTCTCACCAGGTAAAATGTCAGATATATTATCTGTCCATCGGAGAGACAAATGATGAACCAAATTCATTTCTGACTCAGTGTCTCATATCGTGCTGTTCTCTTTCTTTGTCTTCAGCTGAGATCTATCGGAACTACCCCTGGTACTGTTACGTCTTTGCTTTAGCCATTTTTGTTACATTGACAAATCAGATTCACAAGTGGTCGCACACATATTTTGGGCTTCCACGCTGGGTGACGTTTCTTCAGGGCTGTCACATCATTTTACCACGGAAACACCACAGAGTTCACCATGTTTCACCTCATGAAACCTACTTCTGCATTACCACAGGTACATGCACACACACACAATACGCACGTTTGTGCTCATATCCTCCTCGCTTAATCACACTTTCTGTGGCAGTATATATCAGCGCTTTTTTATCATCTGTTTTATGTACACTATTGTTCAGAAGTTTGGGGTCAGTAAGATTTTTTGAAAGAAGTCTCATGTTCACCAAGGCTGCATTTATTTGATCAAAAATACAGTAAAAACAGTAATACTGTAAAATATTATTACAACTTAAAACATGTTTCCTATTATATTTTAAAATGTAATTTATGCCTGTGATAGCAAAGCATCATTTTCAGCAGCCATTACTCTAGTCTTCAGTGTCACATGATTCTTGATTTTTCATCATTCAAATCATTCTGATATGCTGATTTGGTGCCTAAGAAACATTTCTTATAATTATCAGTGTTAAAAAAACAGTTGTGCTGCTTAATATTATTGTGGAAATCATGGTACAGTTTTTAATAGAAAGCTCAAAAGAACAGCGTTTATTTGAAATAGATTTTTAATTTTTTTGGAACAATGTAAAAGTCTTTTCTGTCACATCCTTGCGGAACAAAAATATTAATTTCTTTCAAAATAAATAAATAATGATAATAATAATTTAAAAACATCTTACTAACCCCAAAGTTTTGAACAGCGGTGTATGTGTAAGATATGTACACTTTACATGTATTCAGAGTGTAAGAAAACTTAATTTTTTACTTGATGGTTACACCCCACAACATTTTCAGATCCATTAAATTTAAACATTTTTTGAACATGTATGTTAATCTAGATTTTTAATTTTCTTCATAATGGAAACTCAATTATATATTTATAATCAATTTATGTCAATTATACTGTTATATGTAATTGACCCAAATGTCTTTGTATGTGCAGGCTGGTTGAACTATCCTCTAGAAAAACTGGGATTCTGGAGAAACCTGGAAGATCTGATCCAGAGCCTGACAGGAGAGAAACCCAGATCAGATGACCTCAGATGGGCCCAGAAATCCAAGTAATCGTCCTCTGCCACCAACCCACCTCAGACCTGCTTTTAGGAGAACAGTCTTTCTCTATTTGTCCTCCCTCAGACAGAACAAGAGGAATGGCAAGATATCAAAGCTCAAATTAGAAAGCCATCAATTCTTCAAAACAGTTAAGAGAAAGGGGGTCGACAGAGTGATTGAAAGCAATATCCCACCTGCTCACTCTAAAGATCCAAACATCTAAATCCTTGTTGAAAACTTGAGACTTCTGTGAAATGTTTAAAACTCTTTAAAGTGCAAAAAAAATAAGCAAATGTAAAATTCCAATACTTGAACAAAGTGGGCTCTTTTCTGGACACCTTCTCATCCTTCAACTGCTCAAAGCTTGTTTCTGAGGGACTAGCCTATGCTCTTGGGTTTGACCTTTGGGACTGATATCTCTTGCTCTCACCCTTCTCTTGTTTGGGGATAAAGTGCAGTAAACTCAAGGCATTTTGGCTCTTTGACACAGAGGGCTGAAAACATGTGTCTTCATCTGTTGCTTGTGTCTGAACGGACAGAGCAGCATCATATGCAGTCTTACTTCAGTACGCCTTAAAAGACCAATCACAAGAAACTTGCTTTGCTTGGCCTAATCCTTACACTTCATTCATCTTTTCATAATTAATACTTTCTTTTGAAACGCATTTGCAAATTCAGAGGTGCTGGAAGCAGTCAGCTCTTGACCAAGTATATTAGAAGTATTTCCACATAGGTTAATATTTAGGTGTAGGGGTTTCAGTGTGAATAAGCCATGAGATCTACATTGGTGTCCTCGCTGCTCAACACTGTGATAACAAAACCCATTAGACACTCAGAAAAGGCCTTATATGTATCCATTTTTATTTTGTATTAACTTCATTGTAGGGTAGGTTGATGCGAGCTTGACCAGCTGACTGACACAAACGAACACTTTCACTCCATCACTTGAGTTTTGGGTTTGCGTACATTGTTACTTAACAGTTTAATGTTCAATTTAACGCTAGCATGTTAAATCACACAGCTCGTAGTTCTTATTTAATAATAATATGAGATGTTAAAGGCAATTAGAGCATGATGAAAATGACAGAATCAACATCTAGCTGTCTAGTGACTTACAACTACTACTAACTGCTTATTTAATGAGCGTCATGCACATTTTCTTTTATAAAGCTGCAATGACAATGGATTAGAAAAAAATTATTTACTTGACTTTATATTTAAATACAGCACTAGTCATATTTTTAATTATTAGAAATGTTACAAAATCTTTCACTAATAGGAAAAAAAGAGCTTTGCTTTGCTTTGCTTTAAAAAGTGTTGCTATTCAAGCAATGTCGTTTAGGCAGTGTTTATCGTGTGTGTGGTTACCATTGTAACAGTCGTCTTAAAAGAGTGAGGAAATGGAAGAAGAAATGAACAATATTTTATATCAAATGTTACATAATTGTGATCATTTTTGTTGTGCCATTTTTTTTACTTTTATTTTTCTGAATCGGTTTAATTATTTTTCTAACAGAATAATAACTGTTACACCCTGTTTGCACAGATGATTATCAGTGAAAATATTTCTGATCTTCAGCCCTTCAAAACTCAAAAAACTGTAAATGTCAACCTAATCAAGTCATAGCTTATAGGTTTTATGCTTGTGTTAATATTCATGCCAAAACCTTGTTACTGTCAGCAGCAATGTGGCAGTTGTTGTGTTTCAATAGGTCAGTATGGTGATAGTACATGTTTAGATAGGTCAGCTCTACAGAAGGTCAGAGAATGTGTTTTAGAGTGCAAATTAATTTGTCCGGAGTTGTAAAACTGTTACAATGGAGTCAGCCAGAACTGTAAAAAAGCATATATGAGGTGTTTTGAGCTGATTCATGTGTTACATCTTATTTTCCTCCTTTTCTGAATTCAGGAAGATTTGTTTAGTGGAATATTGTGGTATTTTTGACAGTCGACTAATATATATTTCTATGCTGATACAAGATGCCAAACTTATTTTTGCTCCGCTAATAGATCTGTTGTGGTGTGTTCGATCGGTGCACCACTCCAGTGGTGATTTTCACTGTACAGGGAACTGGAGCTTAAACCAATTTGATTTAGTAAAATGTTACATTTGTCATCGAACTCCACTTGTATTGTTGGTTTCCATTACGTTTTTATTATGACATTTTCTCCTACATTCTACATTGCACAGTGTGGACTATCATATCATATTACATAGCTCTAATTTTTTTTCTTATTCTTTTTGTTGTTGTTGAATATACTGATCGTGAAGGACTCCACCAGCTGTAACATTTCTAAGCTTATTTCCTATTGATAAATGGTGGATGAGGTGCAGCCTGTGATCGTGATGTGGGGATGCAGGGAAGATTGGGCTTTTGTCTGGTTAAGCTTGTTGTTCTGCAGGGCTAATTATTATATAAACCCACAAAAATGTAGGATTTTGCTTAAGAAATGTTACTAATTTGGTGTGCAGTGTGTAAAGGAGATTGATATTGTGCTAACTAAGTGATTGTATTATCAAACTTGCAAAATTAGAGTGTTAAAAAAAATTTTTTTAGGCTCCTTGCTTTCCATGCACTGTGCAGCAGTATGTGGCTGTGAGGAGATTGAACCAATCACATTGTACTTGCTCAAAAATATTGTATTTTCCTTTAGATAACAAAGCAAAGCCAATCCCTTATTCACAGAGGTCATTTGATTGATGACATTTGGCATTCACACTTGTTACTGAATGTTTGTTCTTACTGATTTATCGGGAGAAGCCAATTGATTTTGCAATTCACCACAAAGTCTCACATTCAGTAAATTTTTGTAGGTCGGCTACTTGTTGAAAACGGAAAATAACACCTTAATGCCTTTTTGTTGTTTTGTGTTTTGTAAACTTTTGTCATTAAGTTCATATTTATAATAAAATTAATAAAGAACTGGAAAGACGTGTTGCCTGATTTGTGTTTTTTATGCCGTTCATGTTAATTCTTGAGTGAGCTACACATACACAGGGCTGGGGGGACAACATGTTCAAGGGATTTTAGCAAATATTATACCAGGACATTTCCATTCAACTTTGACTTGCCCCTCAAAGCTAAATGTTTGCATCCAACAACCCACTCATGTTTTGGGTAATAATCATTGTAAGTTGATTTATTAGAACGATGCCATTTATTTGGAAAACTGTGAACTCATGTGACACATTCCTTTTGTTCTTTTTCTTTGAACTTTCACCTTCATTCCAAAGTTCAATCTCTCACTCGCACACACACACACACACACACACACACACACCTGTTACAATCCTTGTTATGAATTAACATTGTTACTGAACCAAAAGAGAAATAAATAGAGGTGGTTAACACCAGAACAGATTGCAACACTTCACAATGATACATGAAACATTGTTATCAGATTACTTATAATAGATTTAGATTTATACAAATGTGACCCTGGACCACAAAACCAGTCATAAGGGTCAATTTTCCGAAATTGAGATTTGAAAGCTGAATAAATAAGCTTTCCATTGATGTACGGTTTGGTAGGATAGGACAATATTTGACCGAGATACAACTATTTGAAAATCTGGAATCTGAGGGTGCAAAAAAATCAAAATATTGAGAAAATCTCCTTTAAAGTTGTCCAAATGAAGTTCTTAGCAATGCATATTACTAATCAAAAATTAAGTTTTTATATATTTACAGTAGGAAATTTACAAAATATCTTAATGGAACATGATCTTTACTTAATATTCTAATGATTTTTTGGCATAAAAGAAAAATCTATAATTTTGACCCATACAATGTATTTTTGGATATTTCTACAAACATATCCCAGCGACTTAAGACTGGTTTTGTGCTCCAGGGTCACAAATAATAAATATAAATAATACATTTATATTTATAGAAACAGAACCACTTTTTGTAAGTTTTTTGTGTGAGTTCAATAACAAAAGTTGTAGTTTATATATTTCATAACTAAACAAAAGCCATGGCTGTATGTGGGCACTGTGAAGATTTTCAGTATTGAAAAATAAAGGAAATGATCTAAAAATCCTAAAAAATTATATTAGATTATACACAATTTCCAATGCTCTTAAATGTTTTTTAATGGTTTTATTAATGTTTTTGAAAGAAGTTGCTTATGCTCACTACAGCTGCATTTATTTGATCAAAATATTTAGTGAAAACAGTAATACTGGGAAATATTATTACAATTTAAAATAACTCTGTTTATTCCTGTGATGGTGATTTGTGCTCGAGAAACTTTTCTTCTTATTATTAATGCTGAAAACATTTGTGCTGCTTAATATTTTTATGGAATAGCCTTCTCTCTGACAGAGATTTTCCAATCTGGCGTCAAGTCATTGACCTTTGTCTGATATCTGGTAAAGTGATTTATGTTCAGAATCATACTTATGCTCTCATGGGTCCCGTCTACACAGACTGATGCCTTTATTTAATGTGTTAGTTATAATAAATCTTTATTTTTATGTACAAGCTGCATTTAAACTGTATGCTGAGCCTAAATGAGCTATAAATTCACAATGGCTTGTGATGTTTTGATTCGTTAACTTTCATTTGACCTGCTATCAAAAAGAATATAAAAGAAACCGCTATGGCAAGTTAAATGTTTTGTAAAATGTTCAGTGTGTCCTATTATGAGCGTTCAAAGTTCCACATGAAGACTGACTTCAGAGTCAAGGACTACAGCTCAAATATTAGGTGTCATTTATGACGTTTGTTCGTCTTGAAGACAGATGACTGTTGAATAGGGTCAAAGAACACACTACAAAAGAGTTCAGAATATTCTGTTCACAATTAAATGATCATTATACATCTCAGAAGCACAAAAGGCCTACAAGTCAACAGTTTACTGTTCACTGAACACTGTGGATGCACACTTTACATATCGATGTCAATGCTATCGGTCAACAAGAGTTTTGCAGAAAAACTGGACCAGCTAAAATAGCTTTTTTGTGCAGCCAGTCATGTGACCAGAGTAATGCTCCTTATTAGAGCAGCAGGATGACCTTCATGAGAGAGGCAGACCCACCCACACTCATACGCTGAGGTTAAAAATCACATATCACTGTGGACATCTTTAGACAGAGTTAAGAAGTTAACCGGTAACAAGGGGACACCGGACCAGTGAATGACAGTCTTTTCTATGACTTAACTGTGCGTATAGCACATACTAATGTCTGTGGAGGAGGAAGAGCGTGTTCAGTCCGGCTCATTGCCTCAGCAGTAATGTGAGTATCAAATTTGTTTCATGCTGCTTCAGCGAGGTAGCACATAAATCAATCTTTTGTCCTGAGTTACTGGCATCAGATTTTTTGCTGAATAATGCTGACTGAATATTTTTTACATGTTGCTATTGTTATCATGTTGGATGTTGGTTATAATGTTACATATGTGCAAATTTGACTAAAGACTGTTCAAGTTCATTTTAAATTTAAGTCTTTGATTGTACAAAAATAAGACCACACATGGATCCACTAAACAGAATAAACAAGAATTAACATTTCATATTTGAATTTAAAATGTTTACGTAAAAAAAAAAAAAAAAAAAACCTTTATTGGTAAATTTGAAAAGTTGTGCTTATGCTGTTGGTTAAAAATGATCCGAAATCAATATTTGAACAAGTACATAACCAGCCAGTGTTCAAAACTATCACCTTACTTTAGCCCGATTCACAACGGTTAGTTTATAATAATGTTTTCTAATTTGAGTGGTATACGGGTAGGTTTTTGCGGGAAATTTGAGCATGCCTCTGTGTCATTACATCACGTCTAAACATAAAGAAGTTGTCCCGGCTACTAGGCTATCGCATGTGAAGATCCTGCAGGTGGCCGATCGTTTTTAGCCTTTTCTCACAGCAGCCAGAATAATTACATTTATCATTTTGATGGCGGATTGTGAATTAAATTAAATTATATGCCAGTTATAAATGTGCTTCTGATTACAGATAGCCTGGGATTACACAAGATTTGTATTTTAAAGACAACCAGTTCAAAGGGAGCATAATTTGCTTTTTGGGTTAAAAGAATTTCTTAATATGAAATTCGAATGGTATGACAATTAGAGAT